TCCCACATCGACTCCACCCCAGCGAGGGCCTTCGTGGTGGGTCCAGCGCCCTCAAAGCTTTGCCAACACTGCGTGCTGCGTTGATCCGGTGACTGACTCGTGGGAATTGACTAACGGATACCTGCCCTATCAAGACTTTGAATTGCCAGAAGAAGACACTTCGACCGTGTACGCGGAAAGGACATACGACTACAAGTTGCACAGCTCTCGGTGGAGCCGACAGCCCCATCCTTGCTCGTGCGATGATACGGTGAATACTGCGTCCATCGCGTCGGAACCTAGCCTGGCGAGTCGTTTTCAATGATGTTTTGTTGATGCGAAGGATTATAAAAATGACCTTCCCAGGCATTGCCCCACAGGCCTTCTCGGATGATTAATAAGGAGTTTCGTTCGATTCCTACGAAAAGCATCTCGGCCTAAAGGAAACCGAGGCACAGTAAAACGTTTTTGATCCAAGATGCATATGTCGGTAACACGCGGTGATGGAGAAAAGAAGTGGTGCAAGTAAGAATGTGTAAGAAGACCAATCTTACGATGTTACGACGACACGTCATCCACACAACTATCGATAGACCATGGCACTATGACCGAATCAGGCCGCTGTATCCGAGAGCCTACTTGAACAACTCTATCGCATCCAAAATCACGTTTGGGGCCAGGAACCCTTCTCCCGAACTCCCACTCGCACAGTTGATCTTGATGGTATTGCTCCCGCTGACCAACGTGCCAGCTGGAATGGCATAATTGTAGACTTCACCAAACCCTCGGTAGGCGCCGCGAGTCAAGCCACGCGAATCGATCTTCGTTGGTGCCGCAGGGACGGCAGCATTAAAGCTGTTGACTGTCACCGAGGGACGGCAGCCGGCGAAAGAGAGCGTAGTACCGATGCGAAGGGTCGCTGCTGCAGTCGAGGTGCTCGAGAACTTGATGGTGAGGGGATTGGTGTCCTTGACTATGGCCATGGGAACACTGTCAAGAGTGCTGGAACCAACTGTATACGTCAAGGGCCCCCAGGATGCCATGCGCGAGTCTGTGGGGTGCATGCGCAGTTGCTTGTCTGCGTTTCGGAAGCCCTTTGGCTGACCATCCCACTCGCCAATGCGCCAAATGGAGGTCTTGGTTTCGGTGTCGGCGGCAATGTTGGCGGTAGTTGCTTTTCCAGCCGAGACTGTGACGCTAGCTGCCTTCACCTTGAACTCGCCCTGATACAAGACCTGCGCGTAGTTTCCGGGCTTCATTGCTGGCGAAGTGAACTTGCCATTACTATCGGCGTACGCCCAGTACTGGGCTCCATCGTTGTACCAATGCAATACCCGTTGGAAACTGGAGCCTACACCTGTCGCCGTGCCGGTGACTGTTCCCCTGGCGGATGGCGCAACGTAGCCCGTTATACCAAGATCCTTGAAGAACGTTGTATCCATATTGGAGCCACCTTCTGGTACACCAGAGCGACTGAACGCTAGAGCGTAGGGGCCGTGCAGACCCTGACGGAACGGCTCTGTTTGAACATGGCCACTGTTCATGTAGAAGGTCAATGACGTGTATTCTCCTCCGTTATTGGTGTTAATATCGCGGTGGAAGGGGCCACCAGAGGAGCCTTCATAAGAATATGAGTTCATAAGGAAGCAGGCGTGGACTGCATCGGCACCGTCTCGGTAGACGCAGTGCTGAGTTGTGTCAGTAAAAGCTCAATGAAGCATGCTGACTATGGTACCCACCGTAGTGTCGTCAATGAAGCGCTCACTTGAGTAGAATTTACTCCTCGTCTGACCAGCGACCACGAAGACGTCTGACCCCTCAACAGTCGACGTCGAACCAACGGTCGTCGATACCACGCCGAATGGGTACTCAAGTGGCAGAGCACTACTCTTGAGGCGCGCGATGAATCGCAGTTCGCCAATGCTAGGCTCGGCAGTGGTGTATGTCGCCATATAAATCGTCGCTTCGCCAGCCTTAGCAACAAGGTAATGCGTCAAGGTACTAGTCGTGCAAGTAACTTTAACATATTGGCCTGTCGGACTCCGTTAGATTCTGTCGTCGAAGGATTGAGGATACAACGAACTGCTTATCGTCTCATACTTGACAGTTGCACTACCCAGTCCAGAAGAAATATGCGATCCCTTGGACGACGACTGCAACTCCTCTCCACGATATTTGATCGATGTAATGTCGCAGCTCTTCACGTTGACGGTAAAGACAAGGGCGTTCGTCGAACCAGCGTCCACAACAATGTTGTCACCGCTTTTAGTAGCGCCGAATGCCGCCAGGACCGAGGAAGAATATGTGGCCGCAGCCAACAATGCGCTCTTCAGTAACATGTCAAGAAACGTAGCTGACGAGAATATAGATGGGGTGAATCTGAAGTGACTTGTCCGGCTTCGATATTGAACGGCGGCTCTATCCCTTACCTATAGGCTTCTCTTCCATACCAGCAGCAGGAGCTTACTACATTGCGCGAACACTCTCGGCGCCAAATGCACCGAAACATCAACAATTTCCACCCAGGACATCCACTAGCCAGATGCTTTCCACGACTGTTACCCAAGCGCAGCCACCTTTGCAGTCATCTGACATCTTGCTTCACTAAGTTACGAAGTCGGGAGGGCGGGAGGAATGCTGATTACAGATAGTATTCGAGCTTAGGTACATGTACCTCGGTATGGAAGTGTTCGTTCATCCGGATCGAAAATGTCGTGCGGTGGTGTTGATCTAAGAGCTAAAAGTGCCGTGAGGGGGGAGTCCGGGGTAAGATGCGCCTTTAGTGGCGGAAGATCTTGGCCTGTGAGACAAGCACTATGGAACAACTTGGCGCAGCTGCGAGAAGTACCCTGCTAGCTACATTGTAAGAAACGTCAGAAATACCGGCTAGAAGCGTGGAAAAGAGGTTTCATGTTAAGACGGAAACGTTATAAGAGGAGTGTCGCAGCAAATTGCCCGCAAATTGGAAGGGCTAAGACTCTACTGGATAAGGTTTGCGGAGAGCCTAGCCCCCACAGGAGACGAGGCACTCGGGAATAAGAGAAAAGAAGAAGTATTACTAACTGCGATTCTGTCTGTCGAAAGCAGCCATATGAACCGGTCGATCCACCATCGCTCAATCATCGCCGCCTGAGCACTCATTCCTATACAACGGGTCAACTTCCACTTGTCGGCACCAGAGCGCCCACGGTCTGGTCAAAGTGCCTGATAGTGACTCCCAGGCATCATGGCATTCCCTGTCGCTCAGATACTTTAGATTGCCGCCCTCAACCTTCGCATGTCCCGACTTGATTTTGCCACCGGCTTCGACGTCGACCTTGCCCTCGAGTGCATAGCCCGTGTGCGCATTCAGAACCGTCATAGCGGTAGTCTGCGCCTTGGCTGCTTCCTTCGTATATATTGCTTGGTAGACAGCCTCCTCGATGCCATGCGCGACGGTTGTGAAGCCATGGCCTTGCAGCAGGACGACAGCGTGATCGGGTTCCATCTTCGGCTCTGCAGATGAACCACCGAGCTGCGAGGGTAGAGCGGAGCGTACTTTGGAGTAGATGAAGCCGGTCGAAGTGGCTGGTTTGAATGCAGCTGCAAGAGAGGCGCCGAGCGTGCTGTCGCGAACGAGCAGGTCGTGTTTCGAACCGGAGGGGTAGCTGCTCGAGGCATCCCAGACTGGCACATTGGTACCTGCAGTGATATTGTCAGCAAGAAGCTAGGCATGATGGTCCAGGATACATGCCCAAGAAGCCAGCCATGTGTATTGTGTTCTTTAGAGGCACACCGCTAACGCAGTACGGCAGAACATCGCCAGCATGGCTATGCACCACACTGTTGATGGCCGGAAACCTCTTGTATATCTCGCTGTGGATGTGTCGCTCTAGATAACCAGGCTTCGCGTCCTTCTCGACCGCTTCGGCGCCATCGACGTTGTATTCGACCAGATCGTCCTGCGAGCTGACCAGCGCTGGCGGCATATTGCAAGGCATCCAGAACGTCGCGGGATTGTCGGGAGACCGGACAGAGATATGGCCATAAGCATCGAAGATGCCTAAAGCGATGGGACGCGTGAAGTCAGTGTATGTTTCACGTGCACTCCGGACACCAACACTTACCATTGTGGTTGAGGATGTGACAGGCAGTGACTAGGCCTTTGAAAAGGTCCTCAAGCCCGACCTTCTCCCGTTTTGGAAAGTATCCGGCAGACATATCGCAAAGATGTAGATAATGTGTACGGCATCGTGGAGGGCGGAACGCATATGTGGTGTAGTGGTACTGTTCTTGCTTCAAGCGCTCGATGACGTGCGGGCGCACATGTGTGGGGAAAGGACTGGTGGGGATGCACCGTTTCTTGGCAACAACCAGCCGACCGTCCAGCCACACTCAGCATTCACAACATTGTTTATCCATCTCGCCTTCGCTACTAACTTCAAGACCCGCTACCTTAGATCTAACGAGATGCTTGAACCTTGGAATTGGAAGATCGAAACGGTCGTTGATCGACCCCGTTGATGTGCGCCAGGTCGCGGCCACCACACGTCCCATGGCCGAGCTGACATAGTATCGTCCAAACAGTGCTTGATGCGACTCTTCGTCCAAATAATGAGAGATCCCAGAGGGTAACGCTGTCTACCTTCTGCACTCCGAGCCGAGCAAGAAAAACCATGGCTACCAATACTCACGATGTCACTTGCCTGAAAGGATTGATCGAGGTGCACTTTCTCTACAAAAGACTAGCTTACCCTTACTCACGTCCTTCGTGAAGGCCGCCATATACTCATGAGCCGCTTCCCTATGACATGAGCATCATATCTTTCCGTATTCATCCTACCCGGTTTCGCAACTTCTGCACTTCCTGCTGCTAACACGATCAACATTAACAACCCGACCTTTATCAATACCCTTCGCTCGCAAAATAGCGGTTATCAACCCTTTCTAGGCCTACGACCAACATGCGCGAGACTGTAGCGTATCCGGGGGTTCGATTCTGGTTATACAAGTTGGAAGGCAAGCTCATCTGCACGCATCACATGCCGGACCAGCCACCACGGCAATTTACGGTATCGAAAGATGACTACGATCAGGTAGAAGAGATGGAAGAAGGAGATCACCCACAGGAGATAGTAGACCTAGGAGGAAAGCGGAGGGTATTCTCAGCAAGCTTCGGGGAAGAGGTGTCCATCGTCCTGATGAACCTCCGAGGAACGCTGGACATGGAGTATTATTACGACAGCCGGGATTTCCAAAAAGTCATATTCAAGGGGTTTGGCCCTTGGCCGCCCGCAAATGCCATAACGCAACCAGTCATTCAAGACACTCAACATACGAACACGTCTGTTGGCGACAACGGAGCTGCTCTGAATTCAGATTCTCAAGGTCCGTCCCCGCCAAAAGTACCCAAAGAGGCACGAAAAACACAAAAGACACGAAAGACACAAAAGACATTGCCAGAAGCCCGAGGAGCCTCATCCAAGACACAAGTCGCTCCGCCAGATGAACAGCAGGACCTGCTAGATACGGAAGAATCGCCGACGGACACACCCGTAACTCCGCCAGACATAATCGAGTCCGTATCAGACTCACAAAAGCCTTTGCTAGACATAGACGCATTCGACGAGTCTTGGATCTATTACTTGAAAAAGAACTTCTCGTAACCGTCGCCTCGAAGACAAACACAACCACTGAGAGCTGTCCCAGGCTCTGAGTCAGTCGGTCGTAGCGCAAGGATCAGAAGCTCGCGGAGACTTTGACCTGGTCAAGTAACTATCTACATTCACGATACTCGGGGGGTACGAATTGAAGCCATTCTTGCCAATTGCGATTGATAGTGGAGACTACAATACATTCATTGTCTGCATGCTCGTCCAGTCTACCGAATGCCGGATCGCCTCCCCCTCCTACGAACTGATATACAGTTCGTTTGTTTCGTGTACGATTGATGTGTCTATGCGATATGCAAACGCCGTGTTTCACCACGAGCGCGCAAGATAGATAGATAGGTCGATGTGCCGGAGGTGTCTGTCCAAATATCGGGGGCAGCTCTTTCGTCCGTTTCCTTTTTTTCCAAACCGGAACCCAAGGGAGTTCTCAGCCCGCGTCCTACGAATGTCTTGAATATCCATACCTCGAACGCCTGTTACGGTCGTTGTAGTACCCCGGCGGTATTGTAGTTCCTTAGCTTCCTGAGCCGTTCTTGACTCTGATTCCACGCCTCCGTATGTGTCGACAGCAGATCCTAACCGCTACCCATGTTTGCCGCGGCTTCCTGGGTTCGCTATTTGTGTCGTTGTATTCTCCTCATCAGCCCATGTCCACATCGCCGTCTGCCTCCCCATTGCCATCCACAAGATCGCTTTCGCCACTCTCACCACTCGTCTCCTCGCTATCGCTGTCTTCGTCCACAATCTTGCCTTCCACCTCACACTTTCGCGCAAAGCAGCTGCCACTCTTTTCGTCCTTGCCACCAACCCCTATCCCAATGTATAATCCTTTCTTCACCTCCTCGATAATCTTGTCGAGATCGACTGTACACTCGCCGTCGTTCTCGTAGATGATCTTCTTGGCTCGGCTGTTGGCTGCCGCTTTTGTGGAATGCACAGATGTGATGTGCGTGGTACCGACGTTGTTCTGAAAGCTATCGGCCGTGGGGTAGCAGGTATCGGTCACGATGTAGATTCTGTAGGGACCGGAGTGGGAGGAATTGACCATGTTGGCCATGGGTGGGTTGGGTTGTTCGATGCTTTGCTGGATGTAGGAATCGCCGTCGTGAATGTTGTTGTTGTTGTCGTTGTCGTACGACCGTTGTGTGGGTGTAGGTCCATCTTTGCTGCGCGCGCAGTTGGCACACATGTGGTTGCCATCGGCCATGTGGGCGCTGTGCGAGTCAGGCGCCATTGCAGACGACAAGACGTCTGGTAGCAGAATAGGAACGCGGCGCAACAATGATCGCAGTACAATTAAAAGACAAGGGAGTAAAATTCAAGCCGCGAAAAGAAAACAAAAACCAGAGGAGGAGACGAACAGTCTCTCCCCAGAAAGAAACGCAGACACCAAAGTCGAGGGATGGAAAAGAGGGTTTCACGATGTCGTGAACATGGGAATCTGGCGCAAGTGAGAGGGGTATCTGGAAAAACGCGATGCGCGGCTAGACCGCATTGTTAATTTATAACCCTCACTGGTATGTCGTTTGTGTGTGAGTGTCTCGCTCCGCGGAGGCCAGTACGGCGAGGAGGAAGGCTTCTTTTTTAGCTCAACGCAAGTGGCGAACATTCCCACAAAGAGCGACATGAAGCTCGCGACACTTCCTCTGGTTTGCCACCAAGGCAAGCAGGGAAGAACTTGGGGGTCTTACGCGTATTACTGCCGAACCCTAGCCACAGCACTTCATGCCCAAAAGTCATGTTCCAGAAAATTCCTTTTTTTCTCCAAAGGTGATCTGTCGGCGAATTAGTAGTCAAAATGTCGTTGATCTGTATCAAATAGGGTGTTGGTTCTGGTGGTCAGGCGGAGATCATGGACAGATTACATGACTTGTAGTAACTTTGCCCGAGCTGCTGCGTGACACATGCCCGACTTCGCCGCCGGGTGCAAGGAGTGGGGTTTCCTAACATTGCGAGGCCCGAAAAAAAGAAGAAGCTCCTGGCATGTGCAAGTAATACCTAGAAGCGATCGGCCACACGTTAGATCTAGAGCGTCCCCAGTTCGACCCTTGCTGCTAACGTATTCCAGCCCACTGTGGTCCCCTGTGGTCCCTGGACTCAAGACTGCGGCAAAAAGTTCCGATGACGAATCACCAGTCTTGGACATAATCCTAGTGCGATGGAGCACATTCCGGGATCAGATGCTAGTTTGTGAAGTTGCTTAAGGATACCCGCTCCCTGCATCTTGCACCGCGCCATCCGATCGCGGGAGAGCTGTCTAGCGGTTCATCCGGCAGATCGGATGAGATGAATTAGCCTGAGGCTGAGGGTCCTCGAGCCCGGGACGACAAGGCTTAGTCTGCAACTCATTGTCGCTAGCTTATCATGTCTTCGTTGCCGAGCCGCAAGAGTTACTGCAAACTGACAAGGACCTGTGGAGGTCTAGTGCCTCGCACCGGCCTTGCAAGCCACTGTGTCCTAGGCGCAATCATTCGACATTTTTCTCGTGCTTGCCAACGTTCTCTTGTCTTCCACACTCATACATAATGGTCATGCTTGCCTTGATGCATATAGAACAGCTAAGTTCCAGAGACAAATACGACGTGAGATGTCAGATTTTCGCAAAACACATTATATGTAATCATACAAGATCCAAGGCAAATACAATCCACTTTCCATCTGCCGTTACGTGTGTTTGTCGTGCAAGACCGAGCGCCACCAGCTCCGTACGCTGCTAAATGTATCCGTCCCTATGGTACAAAAGAGAGAAATGAGACCATGTAAATGCCATGGGAAGAAGGAAAAAGGATTTACTCATCCTTTTGCGTTGCAGATTGAGCCTCACTTGCTGGCTGAGCATCATCCTGATGCTGCTCAATGCTCTTCTCCTTCTGCTGATCTTCCACGACCTCGACAGTAGGTGGTGCCTCGCTGGCCTCGGGAGCATTAGCCTGCTCTTGTGTCTCAGGGTTACGGCCCTCAGCGTCTGGGTGGGGAGGTGCGACGCCATTTTCTTCAGCGTCACCATGCGAGTCTACAAGGCCCTCGTAGATCTCGTGGCCTTCGCCATCGACGATACGGGTTCGGGTCTCGTAACGCGTCTTGAAGCTGACCTTTCCAGCAAGTGCTGATACCTCATCGTCATTGAGGATACGGCCGTTCTCGTCGCGGTACTCAATACGCTCTTCCTTGGAAACAACAGGTAGATCCTTGGGGGCCTCCTGAGGTGGCGGGGAAACTACCGCTTGCTCAGACATCACGTTCTCTTCCTTCGCTTCTTTTGGTTGCTCTGGCTGTTCCTTGGGCTGTTCTTGCTTGACCTCAGGGACGACTTCGGGTGCGACTGGAGCCGGAGGAGCAGGTGCTGCTGATGAAGGCACGGCGATGGATGCTACAGGCTCAGAGTGCATGACGTTGTATGCTTCGTACTACAACTTGTCAGCTGAAATTGGCCAGTCGTGATGCGAAGAGAACTTACAGAGTTTAGGAAGTTGTTGCAATCCCAGTCCCAAGTGTCGAACAGCTTAACGCTCTTGCAAGCATCCTTGGTCCATGCGTTGCCGTATGCTAGGGGAGAGTATACAGTGAAGACTGTGATAGCGACAGCGAGGAAACCGACAGCCGCTGCTTGGCCGATCGCGGGGTATTGCCTCAAACCAAAGACACTGAAGCGGTAGCTCACGAAGTCAAAGATCTGGCAAAGTGCAAGGATGGCAAAGTACAGAGCGGGCAGGTAGTGGTGCAAGAACAGCTGGCGCGCCATCAGGTAGAATGGGAAGTAGTGGAAAGCCCAACCGAGAATGCTCATGCCCACTTCGTAGTCGAAACGTTTGAAGGTGACGTTATTGTAATCACGGTAACCGCGCTGCCAACGGAGAATGGCGAAGCCTTTGATAGCGATGTATAGAGCGATGAGCGCGCTCGAGCTCCACCAGATCACCGGGTTACCCAGAAGATAGATCTGACGGTTATGCTTGCCCCAGAAGTTGATACCGCGGCGTAGAATGGGCCACGACGGAGGGCGCGAATCCCAGGCGTGCGATTCAGTAAGGCCAGCGTTGGTCTTCCACATGACCTTCTGCAACTCCCAAAACTTGCCGAAGAATCCGGGGTTGCGGTAGTTGACCTTTTCGACCTCTCCGTCCACCATCAAGGGATGAACATTGCCCTCGATGTACCAGATGCTGTTGGGCAATGTGCCTTGCCGAGCGCAAGTGACCTCTTGTTGCTCGAAACCCCAGTCAGGGAGCTTCACCTTGTGTGAGAATAGCGCACAACCAGTCATGACATGGACAAGCCTGAACTTGGTCTGGATAGTTCGGACGCGCTTCTTTGCCACGGCTCCATCAGACTTGCTCTTGACAATCTCAATGCGGAACAGATCGTTCGCATCACCCTCAAAGCCTTCGTAACCGTAGGCAGAAACCTCGTTTTGCCAGTCAGCCTCGGTAACAGGAGCACGAACATCGTGCGAGTGGAGGCGTCTGTCGGTGGTGATATGGTAGAGGCGAATGACACCGCCATCTTCAATGTAAGTAGGGCCAACGTTGTCCCAAGCTTTAGGGCTTGTGAGGTTTGGGCCAGTGTAGTCTTCCGGCATGATTGGCAGAGTTTGGTTTTCCATGATCCAGATGTTGTTTTCGTCCTTGTGGGGGTAGAGAGTAATCTGTTGCTGCTTGCTACCGGTGGGGTACATGTGGCTGTGGGAATGGAGATATCCGCCTTGAGTGTTCCAGTGGCGTAGAGAGACACGGCTTCCATAAGCGACGTCGGCGGGAACAGCTTGCATGCCCTTGGAGTTGAGCGTCGCCTGGAACTCGGAAGACATGAAGCCGTCACCCTCACCAGGGTTGACCAGGCAGATGAAGTGGATTCCGAACATGGCCATGTAGAACGAGACGGGAATGACGATCAGGCAAAACATGCGTGCGAAGAAGTGCTTGAACCACAGGCGTGGCGTGACGTTCTTGGTATCTCCGAGAAGAACCCAGAGTTGTACCAGTGTCAAGCTACCA